ACACTATAACTGACTACAATATCATTATTAATAATTTCTAGATGCTTATCACATGTTACTCTGCAAAGATCTCAACTTTGCTTGTCTCTGAATTTTTAGCTTTGTTTCTTTATTGGATACTTTTATATGGCCTGCTAACTAGTCATTCTGCCCCTCCACAGATGACTATTTCATTATTTCACTGGCAAAATGTATAAGAGCAACAAAGTACTTAACAATTGTATCATTTATATTTTCTCCTGACCTCACAACATTTTTTTTTTAGAGGTAGATGATAGGAACAGAAACAAAATGTCCAAACCCACAGTCAAGTTCATAAACAGCACATTTGGGATCTCACAGAACACAGAGGCCTGCTAGTAGGCATTATGAGAGCCTGTGGTTCTGTTTGTTTCTGTTTCCCTCTTTCTCTGACTATGTGCCTTTCAGACCTGTCTGTGCATGTGCATGTGCGTGTCTGTGTGTGTGTGTGTGTGTATGTGTGTGTATGTGTGTGTGTGTATGCGTGTGTGTGATGTGCTGTTTATTGCTCTTGTATGCCTTTCATTCTCAGTAAGCACTCACCTTGTTCTTTCTTGTCCTCACAGCCTTCACTACTTGATCAACTTGATCACTCCTAGAGGAAAAATGGCTTCCAATCTTTGTTTGAGCGCCCTTATGTTCAGCTGTAACCACATAAGCAGCCCTGTCATTATTTTTCCTTCTGGGTAAGAGAGTCTTTCATCTTTATTCTGTCAGTACTGTGGCTAACATGACTTTGGAAAAAAGCAAGATTGCTCTGATTTAGTAAAACATGTGGAATTCGTATTATATAAATGTGATTATTCACTGTGTTCTGGATGATGCAGTGCACTCTAATAGAGTAATAATGAGAAACTACACTTTTTATGTAATTAGAGATAAAGGAAGACATAATTACATAGGTCTTATCCATTGTTTTAATAACAGTAAATTATCATACTTATTCATAATAGCTACTTGGAACCAGGTGCTAGACAAAGTACCCCCTCCTTCCATTGCTTCACCCCCACACAAACACACATACTCTTTTGATTCTTAAACTCTTTGTAGTGTTATTTTCATTGCTGTTGCACAGGAAAAACGGAACTGAAGTGAGTATACGCATGATGTTCAAAGTTACCCAGACAAGATGTGTGTGACAGACCTGTAAGCAGAGCCCAGGTGGCCTGTGCTCCCAAAGTCACTGTGCCGAATCTCTTAGTCTTTATTTCTCAGTGATATTTCAAAAACAATTACAAGTCACATGATTACTGATGAGGGCATCACACCTTGTTCTTTCATCTTTTCAATAAAACTGTAGGAAATCAAAACTTATACTGTTTTATTAATACCATGTCACATGATAAAACATTTTATTGCTCTTTGGTTTCTTTCAATATACCCTTAAAAGACAAGTTCCAAGATTAATTTTCACTGAGGGGTGAGAAACATTTCTAAGTAGTTTTTAGTGTTTTGCAAGTTAATTAATTTAATTGGAGAGCAGTTTGGTTTTGGTATAAGCCTATTATAAGCTCCTAGACTGACAATTGTAAACTTTACACTGACTTACTGTTCTGTAAACTGTATGTTTGCTGGAAATCATGTAAGTGGTATTTTCCTTCAAAAAGGTAACAAATTTTTTCTACAGATATTGCTAATTTAATTTTAAAAAGCTGTCTATAATTTGATCCTGATTATATTTATTATATTAGTCTTTAATGTTTAAAAAATAAGCCAAGATGATTGTTATTCATTTTTCTTCCCCAATTTTATTCGTAAACTGAAACAATGAAAATCAATAAATTAAAATATTAAGAAATCTCTGAATTTTCCACCTGTATTAAGTTAATAATCACCATGCAACCATAATATCCTAAGTAAGAAGGTAGGTTTTTAACATTTACTTTGTAATATTGGGTGCCCTTTTGACATAAAAACGAACAAACAAACTTACGAACAAGTTTGTATGTGAAATAGAACTTAGTTCCCAAGTGGGTTAATGATTTCAACTTTGAGATGTGGTTTAAACTTTTTTCTTTTGTTCTTCTCTCATATATGTCATCCAGACCACAGTTTTCCCTTCCTCCCCTCTCTCTACTTTCTCCCTCCCATCTCCCTTCTCCCCCATATAGTCTTCCCCTATTACCTGTCCTAGAAGAGAACAGGCCTCCCAGGGAAGTCAACCAAACACTGCATAACAAGCTACAATAGACCGGGCATATATCATCTTATCAAGGCTGGACAAGTCAACCCAGTAGGAAGAAAATGGTACCACAGGTAGGCAAAATAGTCACAGACAGCTCCCATTCTCACTGCTATGATTCCTACCAGAACACCAAGCTACTCAGCCTTGACATATATGTAGAAGACCTAGATCAGGCCTCTACAGGCTCCCTGATTTCTGCTGCAAGTCCCTGTGAGTCCCAGTGAGTTGATTATGTGAGTCTTGTTCTCCCTGACCCCTCTAATTCCACAATTCCTCCCCCTCCTCGTCCTCCTCCTCCTCCTTCTCCTCCTCCTCTTCCTCCTCCTCCTTCTCCTCTTCCTCCTCCTCCTCCTTCTCCTCTTCCTCTTCCTCCTCCTCTTCCTCTTCCTCCCCCTCCTCCTCCTCTTCTTCCTCCTCCTCTTGCTCCTCCTCTTCCTCCTCCTCTTCCTCCTCCTCCTCTCCTCCCTTCCTAGGGACTTCTGCAGCTCTGCCTAATGTTTGGCTGTGGGACTCTCCAACTGCTCCCATCAGTTGCTGCCTGAAGTCTCTTTGGAGATGATTCCACTAGGCTCCAGTCTCAGAACACTGGTCTCCTACTGGAGGTAGGATTAACTGTAGGCTGTAGGTTTGCTGCCTGGGCTGGTGTCCCAATTCCTACACTTGATTTTTCAGATGTGCTGTTAAATCCCTAGTATGAAATCTCTCCAATTTCTTTGAAAATGCACTTAGTACTGTGATCTTTCCTCTTAATAATGCTGCTTTCAGTATGTAGTAAGTGTTGTGTATTCTTTTGTATTGAATTCTAGAAAGTCTTTAACTTCTTTCTTTATTCCTGCTTTGATTTGGAAGTTACTCACCAAGTAGTTGTTCAATTTCCCTATGTGTGTAGGCTTTCTGTTTTTTTCTGTTCTTGTTAATATATACCTTTAATCTGTGGTGATCTTAAAAGATATATGTGATTATTTTAATTTTCTTGTATCTATTGAGACTTGCTTTGTGACCTATTTGTGTTTAACCTTTGAGAATGTTCTATGAGGTGCTGAGAAGAAGGTATCTTCTTTTGTTTGCATGAAATGTTCTGTAGATGTTCTCAAATGCTAGGTCCTTTTGAGTTACAATGTCTGTTAGTACCATTTTTTCTCTCTCTAGATTTTGTCTGGATGACCTGTCCATTGGTGAGAGTCGGGTACTGAAGTCTTCCACTATGTATAAGGTTTGATGAGTGATTTAAGGAATGTTTCTTTCACAAACGTGAATGCTCTTAGATTTGGGGCATAGATATTAAAAGAATTGAGATGTCATCTGGTTGAGTTTTTCCTTTGATGAATATAAAATGTCCTTCTCTTTTGATTCATTTTGGTTGCGTGTCGATTTTGATAGATATTAAAATATTTATACCAGTAGAATAGATAAGTCAACATGCTTCTTGGATTCGTTTGCTTCAACAAATCTTCTTAAACTCTTTAGTCTAAGATATTCCAGAAGGTCCCTCCAAGAAACCCTTTGTTTATCAATGTCTTTTTCCCCTCAGGGCAAAACTGGACAGAGTAAAGTCCTAGGTTATTGATCTGAGGACTCTGAGTCTGAGATTTCCAGAGAAAATCTCTGGAGAATGAGGATTCGTTTTAAGACATTAAACACACACACATACACACACACACACACACACACACACCACACACAATTACAGAAGGATCTGCTTCTTTACAGAGTCAACTATACCTCTGCAGACTCAAATGACTGTCAGTTACCAGCAACCAAGAAGGTCTTGTCCTTTGTTGAAGAATCCTGGGTTAGCACTAGACAACCTAGTCAGCTATAGGATTCATGTACAAATACACTAAGTCTCTCCACTCACAAAGTACTGGCACCACACTGACATCAGTTACTCTTTCTTCCTGCCCTATGACTCATCAATGAATTCTAAGACAACAAAGGCATCTTCTGGGAAACAGGTTCACCTGAAGAAACAAAGTAATGCAGCAGAAACAACTGGAAGTAAAAGGAAATGACAGTTCAGGTTGTAAAGTGCTTGCCCTGCAATAGTAAGAATTTGATTTCAATCCCCAAACTTCACTCAAGAAAGCCTTCTTTGTAATCATAGCACTGGCTGAGATCCCTAGACCTCAGTGGCACACTGTCTAGACTATTTGGTAGGCTAATGAGAGAGACTCTATCTTGAAATCATGTCAGCAGTGCCTGAGGAATTACATCTTCAGTTGGCCTCTGGTCTCCACAAGAAAAGATGTGTTTTGAACCAGATGGTGATGTCTTTTTCCTGTAAACACCAGAATTTAAGGAGCCAAAGAAGAATTATAAGTTCAAAGTCAGCCTGATCTAAGATGTGGCACCCTACAGTCAAAGAATAACAAAAAACTCCCTTCCAAATCCCACCAAAAACAGTCAAGATTTCTTGGAGAGCTTGCATTCCAGCAATCTCTCACTATTTGTTAGTACAGCCAAACAGTCAGAACTAAATCCCAGAGCTCCTGGCAAGCTATGCTAATGCAGATCACATCCTAGGTGATGGGATATCCAAGACCTGCTGTGTGCTCTGGGTCCCCATGGACAGCTTGGGCGTGGCTTTTAGAGAGGTGGGTTGGGAGGAGTCTAGGGCTGGCGCTAGGAACCAGAAGTCTCCTTAGAAGGACTGATTTGGTACAGAGCACTCCTATGAAGCAGCTCCTATGAAGGCTGGGCTGGGACAAACTCTAAGAAAGTCCAGGAAGTGGATGGCTGAGGTCAGGTTCTCCAGATCTGTGATACACGCTGTGACGCACGCACATCCCCAGCAATGCAGGGCGGAGCCTGGGCACTGCTGGTGACCATGCTGATGCTCCTGGTCCCGGGAGAAGGCCAGCAAGGTAGGTGGCTGGAGAGGGCACATAGAGGCGCTGCCTGAAGCTGAGCGTTAGGACCAGCTTTGCAGCTGAATCAGTGGCGTTCCCCTGACCTGCCACAATCTCGGTGCCTTTCTTAGCCAGCTGCTCCTGGAATTTACTTTAAGCTCAGGTTGCTCTAACTTCTTTTTGGAATCCCTTGGTCCTGTTTCGTTTCTTTTGTTCCGTGGAGAAATCTTGATCTTTAAACTCTTTTAATTTGCTGCAAGAACCCTTGCCGAACCTGCCGGATACCATACCGGAAAGTGGATCCGAATTAGTTAGAAACTAATGATCGCCACTCTCAGGCCACCTCTGGAAACAAATGGTGAAAGTTGTGTCGCCAAGTACAACACTGGGCTAGTATTGCATATGCTAGCTTTCCAGTCATTTAGTGCAGTCAGTTTCCTGCCGTGAAAGGGAACTTGATGGGAAGGAAATCCTCTCCTACTTCATGAAAACAGACAGAGAAGTGTTTAGCAGAGTGACGTTAGTGAAACAAAAAAAGAGCTTTTTACCTTTCTGAGCGTCTTTGTGCTCTTAACCAATAGGAATATTAAGCAAAAGGTCGCTTAGTCTTGTAAGTCAGGTTCTTCTTCTTCTTTTTCTTCTTTTTTTTTTTCAGGAAGTAAATGATGTGCACAGATATCTGTGGCTTGAAAAAGAGCCACATGCATCATTTCTAAAGGTTGAAGATAAAATCGTCTTTGTACCTTCATGTCAATCTTGAGCAGTTCTATTAACATAAGTGTGGCCTAAAAAAGCAGGCATTTCCCACGTGAATAATAATAATAATAATAATAATAATAAAATATCATCGATGGTTGATTTATTTCTGGAAATCCATTTTCTTAACCAGGTGGCATTCATCTGTGGCTTCTTAGATTTGTTAAATTTACCAGGTATTCAGACAAAGCTTTTCTTAAACTAACATGATGGTTTTAAATATTCATAGGCAGGACAGGGTGACTGGATCCAGGTGTCTAGTGTCTAAAGAGCAGATCAGTCATTACCATACCTGTCTTCTTAAAGCTGTTTTTTTAAAAAATCATTGTTATTGTAAATCTCTGAATTTTTTCCTTCCAGTTTTTTAAAGTAAAGTATAGTATAAATTTTAATCAAGTGTAGTCAACACATTCTGTTAGAGAACTTTATAACTTATTTCTCGTAGATATTCTCAAGCCTATTATTTAATGAACTTTTCCCTCTCTCCCTACCCTTTCTATTCCATAGAAGGAATGCCATTAAGAATTTCTAGAACTCATGAACAATAAGTACTAATTAGGCAGTCATTGTGTTTCCAGAAAATGCTTCTAAATATATTTATTATATTCTAATATTAAGAAAGATGTTTCTAAGTGTACTGTAAATCATATTAACAACTCTACTGGGATGGTGTATAGACCACACATATCATTCACCTAAAGTGTGCTATGATTTTAGTATATGTACAGCTATTTCATAGTCAAAAATAACCACTATTATGCTTTTTTTTTTAGGTATTTGTCTAGCCTGTGTATTTTAATAAATGGGCTCATATTAAAGGAATCATTTTTCACATAATAATATTTTAAAGATGTACCATAACACAGTATGGATCAGAACTTTATTTTTAAGGTTGAAAAGTATTCAGCTCTAAAGAAATAGTGCATTTTGTGGATGCATTTTTCTGTCAGTGGATTTATTTGCTTCTTTCATTCTGCTTTAACAGATAACATTGCCACGGGCATCTCTATATAAGTGTTTGTATGAACACATGTTTTTATTTTTACCCAGGAAGCACTTTACTGAGTGAGAAGTCATCTATGGTTAACTATTTTCAGAATGGGTAGTGTCTTCCAAGAGTGGCTGCACTGTATTATATTCCTATAGCACATGTTGGTTTCAATTCATTCATGTACATGCTAGCATTTGGAGTTACCTGACATTTTTATTTTAGTTAACCTAGTGGATGTCAGCTCACGTATTACCTTGTGGCTTGGTTTATATTTCCCTGGTGGTTAATGGTTCTAGGCATGTCTTATTCATTTGTATATTGACATTTCCTTTGGAAAGAGACCTACTTAGATCTTTTCCCTTAAAAAAAAATGAGTTCTTGGGTTTTTGTTGTTGTTGTTGCTGTTGATTTATAGTTGTATGCATGTGTTAGAATAAATTTTCTTATTGTCTGTATAAGATACATTTATTTTCCCATTTTGTTCAGTGAATTATCCTTTTTTTTCTCTATCCTTTGCAGTACAAAATTCTCAGATTTTCTGGAGACAAGGTTTTGCTATAAAGCCTATGCTTGCCTGAAACATTTACTCGTCCTCTTCAGCATGTGGGGTTATGGGCATGTAACACCATACTGAATTTAAATATTTGATCTTTGATGAGGTTTGATTTCTATTTGATTAGTGTCTTAACATACTCTCAACTAATTCTTAGCGTTAGAGAATTGTGATCTGCTTATTGTAGCAAACTCAGAAAGCAATGCATTGTAAGTAACAGACAGTGAAAGCCCATTTGTATGTGCTGCCACTGTGGATCTACATTTATAACCTGACACATTCTCTCAAATTATTTGAAATCCAAGTATTGTAGATCTTATTACATGCTGCTTAGTTGACCTAAATCACACCAGAACATAGATGAAAAACAGTAATGTAAATTTACAGTTTTGTTTGGGGGGAAAGATACTGAGACTTTTCTAGAAAGCATGTGAGTCATGACACTGATGATTATGACAGATTTGCAGAGTTATTCATTCAGTATTGGACAAAGATAATCTTGTTCTTACATGAGAGCCTAAACCTCATCACAATGCTTACTTAACTGGATAATATATTTTAGAGCCAAGACCAGACTTTTGCTTGCTTTTAGGACTTTTTACTCCTGCTGGGTTGCCTCATCCAGCCTTAATATGAGAGGAGATGCTTAGTCTTGTCGCAACTTGATAAGCGATGTTTGGTTGTTATTCCTGGGAGGTATGTCCTCTACTAAGGAGAAAGGAGTGGAAGGGTGGTAGGACAGAGGTCAGAGAGGGTGGGGAGAATGTGAGGGGAGGAGAAAGGGGACGTTGTAGTGTGGACGTAACTAATACATTAGAGAAGAAGAAACCAACTAAAATGACTTTTAGAAGCACAGTTTTTTTTCCTTACCAAGATTTTTTAAACTTTCTACTCAACATGCCTTAAGTGACAAACATTTCAAAAAGAAATTATGAACTGATATAAAAATAGGAACCATTATTAATTTTATTTACTAAGAACTTTTCTCTAAAATAAAATAAGTACAATAAAATTCTTATTTAAATATTATATATTCCTCCAGTATTGGGAATGTCACACAAAGATGTTCACTAAAATTATTCCTTATGCTTCTTTGGATTAAGGAACATTATTTAAAGCAGGAAAATAAAAAAAAATGTAAGGACTATACGTGCTCTGAAGGAGAAGTACTACATAGAATTAAAATAGATCCATGGGTTGGGAAAAATCACTCAGTTTTTATAACACTTGCTATGCCACTGTGACAACCTGAGTTCAGATGCCAGTGACCCATGTAAATACCCTAAAGCATGCCTGCACAACATGCTGACATGGATATACATATCACTCATGTATTCAAGACAGAAAATGAACTTACTTTAACCTAATGAAAACTATGTTGGAGATAATAGATCACAAAAATATTCCAGTAACTCATGTATATCCCATTGCTATTACACTTTAACATAACATACTTAATTTTTAACCACGTACAATGTTCTTACATGGAAAGATAGTAGAATTCTTTTAAAATTAAATGAAATAATAGTATATATACATAAATATATTAATATATATGAAGATATTTATCTAATGCTTATAGTTTGTAATTATCAAAGTTATTAGAATTATCAAGGTAAAATTCTTCCTAGAAAATGCACATCTATGGAGAAACAAAGTCCTTGAGGTGACTCTAAAATCATATAGTAAACAGAGGAAACTTATGGGGTAGACACAATTACAAAAAATAAGAACAGCATTTTAAAAATTTAGTTGAGCATATTGCATTCTGCTATCTGGCAGAGGTAGGATTTTAGTGCCTACTTTAGAGAAAGTTCATTCAAGAACGGTCAGTAATGACATTTCAGTCTCGACAAGTGGGCCCAAGAGGAATCCTAGTAGTATTGGTGAATTCTGGTCACAATAAACACATCTTAACCCGAGAGCACTAAGCTCTGTTCTGCTCTCAGCTCAAGTCAAATGAAAAATAAAAACCTCAAAGCTTCAGTATCTTAGAATCACACTGTGGCAAGATTCAAGTTGCTTATTGCATCTTTAGAAAGTGCAAGCTAAGTCCTCTTTGACTTGCTAGGAGTCCCTGATATTCTGAGAGCCTTTTGTGTATGTGTAACAGTGAGTATATTTGCTTGCTTTGGGAGGGAGAATAACATATTAAGCATAGACTTAACTATGCTGGTGAACAGAACACATGGCATAAAAATTCTCACCTTTCTGTCTAGCTCAGGAGTGCTCTCCTGGGGGCCACCAGTTTCTTCAGAGTCCTTACAGAAGCGTCCACTTTGACACAGTGTATCTCCAGTATTCATCTGCTCAAGACCTGATCTGTGACCATTCTCTCACCCCTGGATGGTACCGATTTCTCATCTTTGACAGACCTGCTGAGATGCCGACAAAATGTGTGGAGGTACTTTTTCCCATACTGACATGTTATATTCATTTTATTAGATAAATTTAATTTAAAATATTTCCTTAATACTTTAATGATAATGGCTATGATAGTGATGCTATGCTCCATTTGCTCCAAAAATGTTTTAAACTACAATATCTTAGATAATTTCCACAGTTGTGGAACACAATGTAACAAAAATCATTCTCCATCAAATTATGCAGGACACATATATCCCTAGGCTTAAGTCTCCTGGTTACCTCGTTAGCCAGCCAAAAAGCCAAATTATAGATGTAGGTCGAGGTATATAAGAAAACTGCCATTAAGGAATGCTTTTGAAATTTTGCTTTAGTGCTTTTCAGTTGCTAGCTTACGTTTCCTTTCTTGACTCAAAATCCACAACTCCATCACCTTCTATTTCTTTTTAAAAGTTTTTTATTGGATATCTTCTTCATTTACATTTTAAATGTTATCTCCTTTCCTGGTTTCCCTTCTGCAAACCCCTTACCCCATCCCCTCTCTTCTTGCTTCTATGAGAGTGCTCCCCCACACACCCACCCACTCACACCTCACTACCCCAGCATTCCCCTACACTGGGGCATTGAGCCTTCACAGGACCAAGGCTATCCTCTGCTACATATGCAACTGGAGCCATGGATCCTCTTTGGTTGGTGGTTTAGTCCCTGGGAGCTCTGGGAGGTCTGGTTGGTTGATATTGTTGTCCTTCCTATGGGATTGCAAACCCCTTCAGCTCCTACAATCCTTCCCCTAACTCCTCTGTTGGGGTCTCAGTGTTCAGTCTGATGACTGGCTGCAAGCATCCACATCTCTATTTGTCAGGCTCTGGCAAAGCTTCTCAGGAGACAGCTGTGTCAGGCTCCTGTCAGCAGGCACTGATTGGCATCAGCAATAGAGTCTGAGTTTTGTGACGGGAAATGGGATATGTCCTTGGCCCAGTCTCTGGATGGCCTTTCTTTCAATCTCTGCTCCACACTTTGTCCCCTTCCCCGTGTTTCCTTTAAACAGGAGCAATTCTGGGTTAAAATTTTGGAGACGAGTGGGTATCCGTCCCTGAACTGGATGTCTTGTCTAACTTCTGGATATAGTCCCTACAGGTTTTCCTTCCCCTTTGTTGGGTATTTTAGCAAATGTCATCCCTGTTGGGTCCTGGAAGCCTCTTGCTTTTATGGCATCTGGGACTTTCTGGTTGCTACCCCCAATTACCCATCCCCCATTGCTACATACTTCTGTTTAATTTCCTGACCCTCTGTATATTACCCAGTCTCCTCTCATACCTGATCCACCCGCCCTCTGTTTTTCCCTTCCCCCCTCCTTTCTTCCTCCCACTCCCACTCCCTATCTCATGTGAGTATTTTGTTCCCCCTTCTAAGAAGGACTGAAGCATCCACCCTTTGGTCTTCCTTCTTGAGCTTCATGTGGTCTTTGAGTTGTATCTTGGGTATTGTGAGCTTTTGGGCTAATATCCAATTATCAGTGAATGCATACCATGTGTGTTCTTTTGTGACTGTGTTATCTCACTCAGGATGATACTTTCTAGATCCATCCATTTGCCTACGAATTTCATGAAGTCATTGTTTTTAATTGCTGAATAGTTCTCCATTGTGTAAATGTAGCACATTTTCTGTATCCATTCCTCTGTTGAGGGAAATCTGGTTTTTTTTCCAGGTACTGGCTATTATAAATAAGGCTGCTATGCACATAGTGGAGCATGTGTCCTTATTATGTTGGAGCATCTTTTGGGAATATGAACAGGAGTGGTGTAATTGGGTCCTCAGGTAGTACTATGTCCAATTTTCTAAGGAACTACCAGACTGATTTCCAGAGTGGTTGTACCAGCTCGCAATTCCACCAACAATGGAGGGATGCTCTTCCTCCACATCCTCACCAGCATCTGCTGTCACCTGAGTTTTTGATCTCAGCCATTTTGACTGGCGTGAGGTAAAATCTCAGGGTCATATTGATTTGCATTTTCCTGATGACTAAGGATGTTGAATATTTCTTGGTGCTTCTCTACCATTCTATATTTCTCAGTTGAGAATTCTTTGTTTATCTTTGTACCCCATTTTTCATAGGATTATTTGGTTCTCTAGAGTCTAACTTCTTAAATTCTTTGTGTATATTGGATATTATCCCTCTATCGGATGTAGGATTGGTAAATATCTTTCCACAATCTGTGAGTTCCTGTTAACAGTGTCCTTTGCCTTACAGAAGCTTTGCAATTTTATGAGGTCCCATTTGTCGATTGTTGATCTTAGAGCATAAGTCATTGGTGTTCTGTTCAGAAAATTTCCCCCTGTGCCCATGTGTTTGAGGCTCTTCCCTACTTTCTCTTCTATTAGAGTTAAGTGAAGAAATATCAAATATCTTTCACACAATATAGGTGGTGGTGTATGTTTGTGTGTGTGAGAGAGAGAGAGCAAGGGGGGCATGGGGAGAAAGTCAACATTGGATGCCTTTTTAAATTGTTTTACATTTAGTGTTTGAAACAACATCTGTCACTGAATCATTTCCTCCCCAATGAGGCCAGACTATCTGGTCAGAAAGCCCCAGGGATCATTCTGCATCTACCTCTCCAGTGCTGAGATTTATAGGCATGTGCCTTGCCTTTTGTTTTTATTATAGTAAACACTGAGGCTCAAACTCATATCTTCACATTTGTCTATCAAGTACCTTATTAACTTAACTATCTTCCCAGTAGTCAAATATTCCTTGGTTCCACTCTACAGACAGCATACCTTCTATAAATCAGTAACCTGGAGGCCTATGATCTCAGCTCACAGTTTATATTCTTCAGACCTACTATGTGTACAACCTATGTGTCTTGTTTTTCCTATACTTGTAAACAGACAGGCATGGGTCTTTCAGATATGTCACATTTAGGTCTACTTTGAAATATTTTTGAGTTCTGGCAACTGAGCCCAGGATATCTATCACACACACTAGGCAAGCACACTACCACTGTGCTTGCAGGGGGAAATATTCTGAACAGAACACCAATGACTTATGCTCTAAGATCAACAATCGACAAATGGGACCTCATAAAATTGCAAAGCTTCTGTAAGGCAAAGGACACTGTTAACAGGAACTCACAGATTGTGGAAAGATATTTACCAATCCTACATCCGATAGAGGGATAATATCCAATATACACAAAGAATTTAAGAAGTTAGCTACTTATAGCTACATCTCTAACCATATTTAAGATCTTCTATACATACAATCAAACCAGATGTGGTTTTCTGAATTTAACTTTTCCCTGAGCTTTCTTCTTCCACACAGTATAGGATGCTTTTCATCCTGGTAGAGTCTTGCCTAAATAGTTAACGCAAATAGCTTTGTTCACACAAGGATCTTTGAGAAGAACGTTGTTTTCTTCAAATTGCCTCAAAGAATAAGCATAAGAAAAAGAAATGCAAAACATAGTCAGCTACTATGAATTTGATTGAGAACTCTAGTTGTCTGAATCATAATTTTCAAATGAGAAGTCACCAGTAATTCAGCTAATCATACTGACATGACATTGTCATCTCCTCTACCTATGTGATTCATGACAAGTTGGTATTTCAAACTTTCCCTGTTATTGCTACTATAATCTTGTCCAAATAATCTAAGGAATAAGACTAAGTTTAAATATTGTAAAAAAAACATTGTTTCAGAACCTCTGTGGTATCAAAATGGTAAAATATATTTGAACATGACATTTAGATTGCAACTAACCTGTTCCTTGCACAGTAGGTATTGTAGGTATACAGCTTCACTCGATTTCACAGTGAGACTTTGTGGTAGCCAATGAACAACTACATTATAAAAATGTAGATGCTGACAGAGTTTGAATCATGTAACCAAAGTCATTATCATTAGGGACAGAATAACAGTCAACGTTGCCCCACCATGAGTTCTTTACCTTATCACAAGCTTCCACATAGCTCAGTGGATGATTTCCAATGCCTGACCAGGCACAAGTGGGTTTTGTTTGAAATATGAAGCTTTGTGACAGGACTGTACTATTCAAAAGTATGTCTAAATTGATAACCATCACTAACGACTTGGCCCCACATCCTTGTGCTTTGTGCTATTTTTACCTTTTAACCTAGAAAACATACAGCTACTAATTAAGACCTGGAGTAAGAATAAACCACATAAACCTATGTCTTATCAGACCTCTCGTTTATCTTGTTTACATTCATATTTTGAGGGTTATTTAGATGCGGGCTTTTCCTTTCTCAACACCAATGTAAAAACAACAAAATAAAAAAAAAACTCAGAAAAAGTATCCAATTTTGACACTATTTAATATTAACACTTGTCATCATGGCTGTTTTATTTTCTCTTTTTTTTGTTTATCTGCTTTTATTTTATGACTTTTGTAACATTTTGTTTGAAGGAAACTAAGCCATCAGAATTTAAAAGTAAAGCTTGAGAAAAAATTGGAGGGAAATCACAATGTTCTTAATATTTGGGTTCTCTTCTATTGGCTAAATTAATTGGATCTAGAGCCTTATAGAAATGAGAGGATGAAATGGCTTCTCTTTTTGTTCCTGAAATTCAGCATGTGGTCATAATGAATAAGTGTCCACTGTGTACAGTTAAGTGAACAATCAATCATTTTTCCTTTTTCCACAGGATGATACAAACCCGTTGAAATAAGCTTTGGCTTGTTGGATTTAAAGTAATATACATGAATCATAGAAAACAGCAAAAAACAGGGGGGCAGGGAATATAGCAGTGGTTTTTTTTATAATCCCCTCAGTTGTAGCGATCATTAGTATGTTCCCGCTATTTCCCCTCATTTAATTTTTACAACATGATTTTGTAGGTAATTACATCATTAGCATGTTTCTGTATTATAAATTATTTCATGCAACTTTTAGAAATGATATGCATAATTGTAATTTTAATAAGTAAAATTAATGAAGAAATATCTTTTAAGATGTTGGAATACATAAAACATAATGATAATTTTAATTCCCACAGCAATATATAAAAAGGTATCTCCTGATACTATATATTCATTCATTAGATGTTTGGGTATCTTTTGAGACTTGTGAAATTGTGGTCTTAGAGTTTGTAAATAAATAAAATGATCTGAATAAAATAAATACAACAATGTAACAATAAATAACAGTATACTAAAAAATAACTACTTCAAATAGTTTCTTCATTCAATTCTTATATATTCTATATTTTATGATTATTCGTTAATCATACCATCAACTTTTTCTTTATAATTTTCTTTTGCTTTTAAATGTGGAGATAGCATTGTTAATGACTAACCTGGCTAATGGTTATTGGTTAGTCCTGACTACATGCTGCATTTACATTCATGCTTGAGCTGAGCTCATTAAGCATGTACTGCTATCTGCACAGTTCCAGAGAACGATGACTGGTACTTTTTCCAAAGTCATGAGTATTTCAACTATTCTTAAAATTTTGTCTTGTTTTCCAGCTTAATTTGCCATTGAGTTATATTTTTCTACCTGGAAAGAATGTTGATAGCAGGCTTCAAACATGTTTTAACTCTACTTTTCCAAGCCGCTAAATGATTTTTCTATATCAGATTCTAAATAACACCTTTATTTTCTCCTGGTTTTTGTTTCATCATGACTCTGAATTAATATCAAATATGCATTATCTCCAGCAATTGTGAAAAAATTCTCAAGATCAGTTGGCATCTCTGCTATATATTAATACGCTTTTAGATTAACTTGCTGTGTTTTCTGATATGTCGGCTAATTTAGTAAATTATCTGAAGTTGAATTTCTCACTTACAGTACAAATATGAAATAAAGATATTTTCATTGAACAGGTTATATTAGTATTAACTAATATTATATTAATTTAATGTTTTTTAAATTTACTTTTTTATGCAGTAAACGTGTAAGTAGACAAATGTTTTGCCTGCATGTATGCGTTTATGCCACATACATGCCTGGTTCCACAGAAGTCAGAAGAGGGTGTTAGATCCCTGGATCTGGAGTTATGAATGATTATGGAGCCTCTATAAGGATTCTGGGATCCAAATCCCGGTATGGTATTCTAGGAGACCACCAAGTGTTCTTAACTGCTGAGCCACAGCTCAAGCCTCCCAAGTTATAACATTTGCAAACTAATTGACAATTTGCTGTTTTGAAGATTATTCAGAAAAAAATGTAAAGTTTTTCCTATTTGTATGAAATTAAGTGACTTCAACTTTTATTTTCTCTGACATGAAAGATGAACCGCTGTGGAACTCAGGCCCCCATCTGGCTGTCTCTCAGTGATTCCGAAGCTCTGCCTCTTCCTGGCAAGATCAAGACACTGACAGCGTGTGCCACTTGGCAGTTTTTGTTTAGCACTGAAAAGGACTGTTGTCTCTTTCAAATCCCTGTCTCTGTACGAAACTGCGGGGATTTTTTCGTGTACTTACTGCAACCCACTCAGGGATGTATGGGCTACTGTGCTGAAGGTAGGGGACATCTATAACACTGTAAGCTCCTAACTGTAGAGATGTACATGAGTGAATTTGTATTCTCAATAAGCTGTCATGAGCTAATGTGAGAAGGAGATTTTGTCTATCTTTATTGATAAATTAAAGCCAACTTTCTGGCTTGAATTAGCTCGGTTTGTTTAGAATATGTATTAATCTCTTAAAATACTCAAAAAAGTCAATGTTGCTGTAAAGATATAAAAGCAAACTTACTGCATATAACACCTGAGCTGCTTTAGAAACTTGGTTTCTTTTTTGTCTTTTCCCTTTCTAATTAAGACGTGATAGATAGCAAGCAAATATGTGAAAATTTGGACCTTTGAATTATTTTACTTTTTATTAGCAATTTACTGAGCAAAATATAGAGTCAAGAATTACCCTAGTGTTGGTTACTGTAAGAATGAAGATTAAATATGATCTCTCCCGTAAAAGAATACTCAAACAAGTCATAAATAAGCTAGATGGAACTCACAGAGACGATAATGCATATCTATGCCCTGCACATGCGAAGTTTCCCTAAAGAGGAGTTTGCGATTGTATTTGTAATGTACTTGCATGAAGGAATGCTTGTCTAGCATCTACATAGCTTTAACCTCCAGTACTATGAAAACTGTAAAACTGGAAAAAACAAACAAACCAATATCAAATCATGTTTGTAGTTCCTGTGCCACTCAGATAAATACTTTTATTTTGATTGTGATATGAGCTACAAAATTAGCTTGCAAATAATAGTGTATAAAAAAGAGGGCACAACAGTGATTTCGTAGAAAGAAGACTTGCTGATGGTATGTTTGATCATACCTGAAGATGGAACCAAAAACAGCATGAGCATCTGTAAACTTGCAGTAAGGAACTGGATGTGTTTTCTCCAGAGGCCAGTATCGTACCTTAATAATGAAAAAGTTTGTATTAACACAAATTAAGAAATCTTCTAGAGAACAGATAAGAATAATAAATTTTAGAAGAAACAAGAGCCAGAAAACCCCAGGAAAGAAGGAGAAACTGTCCTATAGACTGAAGAAAAACTGTCAGAGTGATACATTGTGATTTCCTGGAATAGATTTTGGGACAGAAGAGGATGTTTTATGTTATATTTGTGTGTGTGAATCTAAAATTATTTTAAATTAAAATATTTATAAAAAACAAAAAAATTAATTTGAAATTAATGCCTTTTTAATTAAAAAAAAGCTAGGCATTATAAGAGGCACAGATTAGCAGGAGGATATTGTCTTTAAAAATTAGTTCTGGAACTCTTTGGAAACAGTTGATGAGTCTTAATTGATATCTGGATGAGGAGAATTAGGCAGATATGAAAAAATATGATGGGAACAGAGTAAGGAGGCGTACCAGAAGATGAGTTCAGAGAACCCATGGTAACAGCTGTGAGAGCTTCAGTTCACTGAAGAACTTAGTTCCAATCAGAACCATTGTATAAAGTGTTAGAGGATTTCCGAGTAGATTGATAAAAAAATCAGACGATTGTATGCTAAAGGCATTATTCCTAGAAAAAGTTTCCTGTAGACTGTTCCATTTGTTCCATAGTGAAGTATGAGTGGGCTTACAGGGAAAGGGTAGAGGTGACTTGTATGAATGGCAAAGCAAAAGGGGCACTGAGCTTAGATGCAATTCTCAGACAAAATATGTATACATTACCTCATCTGTTTATATTGTTGGAGTAATATTTATCTTCTAACCAAGAAAGCATGTCTTTGGTATAGGTTAGAGGGTAAGTTTAAATTCTTCCATAATTCCACAGGACACTTGTGCATTTACTAATTGCAGTTAATCATATTAATGGAAAGATTAAAAGTTGCTATGGACGAGCATGCTGCAGGCAAGGAAAGGATGTAGTTCACCCTCTGGAGTCCATAGAGAAAGCCTCTTCAGATCAGACAGCACTGACACTGAGAGCTGCAGGGTGCACAGGCCGTAACTGGAGCAAGCGGGTCAGCATCAGCTAATCACAACAGCAGGCAGCAAGCCCTGAAAGGATGTGCTTAGAGTGGAAGCACAGCAGAAATGTTGGGTGCCCATGAGCAAGGGAGAGCACAGAAAGGCTTCTCAGGTATGGCAGTAATGCCATCTTCAGGAAGCTCTGAACTATTTAATAAGATTAGGTTGAAAGGGGGAGCTACTGGCAAAAAAAGAAAAAAAAACCTTTGGAAAAACTCACATGACATATAAAAAATATAATGAGTTCAAGGGGACACAGGATAGCAATTCTAACTATGTAACACCAATTAAAAAGTTCATAGTGGCAACAATACATTTGGAGAAAGTAAAGAGTAAATACTATTAAGACAAAAAAACCCAAAAACCCAGCCAAGGTTTTTACCTTATGATAAAATGCCACTTCTATAACAGGATATAGCAATTCAAGGGACTGAACCAGGACCAGATGCACACTGTGTGATGCAAAACTGGTGGAACTTATATTCAAGGAGAAACAGACAAGCATGCAATTAGACTGCACATCACCAACCACTCAGTAATAAAATGAAGCCAGCAGAAGCAAAGAGCAAAGCAACTCTATCAACTAATTTGATCTAAATGATTTTCGAGGGTACTCCACACCAGGGAAGCAGAATGAACCTTCTTCGTAAATGGATATTCACTATTTACCAAGGATATGCGTCATCTTGAGCCCAATCAAGAAAACCAGATATTTTAAAAATGAAGCTAATTAAACTCAGTGTTGATTGAACATTTATTTTACAAAATAAAAATTTACAAATTAAGTACCTCAACTTACAAATATAGAGATTAAAATATAAATGAGCATCAGAACAATACAGTGAAGAAATGAACAGAAGTCAATAAACTGTCGTTCACATAAACGACAATTTATTTAATTAAAATACAGTTCTTTGAGTAGTTCATCGAAAGCTATAATTCTTTATCCATAACTATGGTTTAGAAAAGACCACGTTGGGACCAGCTGTATAGAGCAGGTGGTAGACTGAATGCTTAGCATGCTGAAAGGTTCATTCTCTAGGAATACACAAATAGGAAGGGGGTTGGGGAGATAGAGAGAGTGGGAGTGAGAAAGAATATTGGGGACACAATTGAAACAAGGCACATATGACCGTAGAGAGACTGAAACAGCAAACCCAGAGTCTACATGGGTCTGCACCAGATCTTCTGTATTTATACTATAGTGTTCAGCTGAGTGTTTTTATGAGACTCCTAACTGTGGGGCCGTGAAGGGATGATTTGGTCTCCCCAGTAGGGCACTGGGTTTGAGATAGCCGGAGACCCAACAGGTGAATCGTAGCCTGGGTAGGGATGGCATGTATTCCCCCCCGCCCCCCCCCCCCGTATTCCAAACTCCCACATGCAGCCTGTATCCCCATTAGCCTACACCTTGCAGACGCATTTGGCTCAGAGTAGCTCTTCCCAGAGAGGTTTGTATCACCAGCCAGGTAGAGGGCGTGACTAACAGATTTCCATATTCATGAGTTACCTAAGGCCAGGAGGCCTAGCTAGTTAAGTTATTCTTTATCCCAGCCCCTCTTCCCCCTCCTCTATTTAAGACAGCTCTCCCCTGGCTGAAAGTGAGGAGCACGTCAGGGTAGTGGGCATGTCACGTCCAGATCCAACCATCACACTATGAACAATAAACTTCTTAAACGCATGGATTCCACATGTCTTCTGGGGCCTGTCGCCACCAAAGCTTCCAGCCTCTGAAACCTTGGACCTTCTCGTGTATGTGGGATCATGGGACCTGCTGGCATGGAAAGCCACCTGGGACTCGCCCCCCCTCCCCACCCCCGCACAGGTCAAGGCAGCATGGTTCCAGGACAACCCCTCGTTTTTTCCCCCACACCTAACTGGGAGTATGAGTGAGTCTCTGACTCTGGTTCCTGCTCTTGGGACTCTTTTTCTCCTGTTGGGTTGCTGTGTCCGACTTTTTGCTTAATTTTACCATATTTTATTTTGTAATGTTTGGTAGTTAGCTCTTAGAAAGCTGTTCCTTTCTAATGAGAGACAGAAAGGGAGTGGATCTGGAGGGGAGACAATGTAGGGGTGGAACTGGGAGAGGCAGAGAAAGGGGAAACTATACTCAGGATATATTGTGTGAGAAAAATCCATTTTCAATAGAAGAAAAGGGGGAAGTAAAAGTAAAGGTAAAGAACCCAGAAAAAAAAAGATTTCACAGATAACATGAGAAGAACAAAGGTATAATTAGGAACAATTCTATTATTACTTTGATGTCCTCGATGAACTTTTTAAGTCACTTAAAATATGTATCCAGCTACAATCACTTAAAATCAATGGCTGCATTTGTATTCAAGAAATTATATTTCTAGTTGAATACTATTTCAAAAGGTCACTCAGACCATTCTGAGTGGGAAGGTTTACATATTAAATGGAAATAATAATAATTTTATGCAAAATCTCAAAAATAAATGAAGAGAAATATCTAGTCCTGAGAGACTAGAGCTAAGCCTCTGAGAAGCCAGTGTTACTCAAAACAATGAAAGACAGACACACAAGGGAAAGATATTATTCCAAACAGTTTTGGAAACTTTCTGGTGAAAACCTAGCACTTGGGAGACTGACATGACAAGAAGGTCATTAAGTTGAGGTCAGTTTGGGGTTACATAGCAATTTCCCAGCCAGCCTGGGCTAATAAGAGAAACAACATATTGAGAATGAAAATATACGACCCAGTCACAAAAATCTTCTAAGCCAAGAGAGCAAAATTAATGTCTGCATAAAACCTCTATAAAATGGGACAAGTATGAATATAACTTACAAAATGCCAGATTGTCCTTCAAAGTGACAGTATCACTTTGCATTCCTCCAGCCCAAACATTTGGAATTATCAGTGTGTTCTGATGTTTAATAGTGAAGACTCCAAAGAAGGTATGAAAGCTACAAGTACTTCAAAATGTAGTCCCTGACCATTGGTCATCTCTGGTTGATCGTATCCTTAAATGGGGAAATTTCTTATAAAAACAAAAAAATCCCAAAGAGAACTAATTCCTAAGCTCATGTTAAAATGAACTTTCCCAAGACCTGTTCTTAGATATATGTGAATTTACATGTTTTGGTCATTGAAATAAAAATACAAACTTTAACCTTTTACAGCTATTTCTGATGTGAAGTTACACACTTGTGGCCCTGGAGAGACAGAAATTGAAGGTGGCTGTGTTGGTGCGTATGACACTGTTTTTATATGATGTAGTTATATTTGTTAATATATTTGTTCTGTGGAATTAAATGTTGAATTATGCAAGCATCACTAGTCTGATAGAGATCATCATTAACAATATTTTTGTAATGTGTAATGTGTATGTAGAACATATCCCTGAGTTTGGTAGAAGTACAGGTTTTGGGAAAGAAAAACCTGTAAATATTGGCAGAATCACTCACAAGAAGACTGATGATTGAAATTAATTTTCATAAAACTTCACATGTATTTGTACCTATTATTTTACTTTCAAAGCTCTTCCTTCCAGAACTGTTTAAGCATGTGTGAAGCACAATAGCCATAGCAATGTTTTTTTATAATATGGAAAAATGATTTAAAATAACAAGTCAGGCACAGCGGTCATCGGTCTTTGATCATAGTTGGAAGATAGCTGTAAGTTTTTTGCTTCATAGGATGACTGTCCCTCAATACAGACAAACATTAGTCATTCCATTGTGTCTATAAACAAATACAATTCTCAAAAATTAGGAGGTAGACTTCTCATCCGGATGCTATGATTAACAGCTCTGAGTTACTTCTCTGCACTCTTCCAGTTGCAGATTGGTTTTGCAGGCATCTTTTGCAGCATATCTGGCACCAAAACATTATGCTATCTCAAATTCACAGCTTCACTAGACACTGTGAGGACAAATAATTTTTTATTGTTTCATTAGTATTTTAGATCATAATATAAAAATAAAACAATATTCCTTAAACATTGTAACAATAAGCACATGTAGGGCTGGAGAGATGGCTCAGTGGTTAAGAGCACTGACTGCTCTTCCAGAGGTCCTGAGTTCAATTCCCAGCAACCATATAGTGGCTCACAACCATCTGCAATGGGGTCTGATGCCCTCTTCTGGTGTGTCTGAAGAGAGCAATGGTGAATACATTAAATTAAATTAAATTAAATTAAATTAAATTAAATTAAATTAAATCAAATCAATTTTGCCAGGCAGTGGTGACACACTCCTTTAATCCCAGCACTTGGGAGGCAGAGGCAGGCAGACTTGTGAGTTCGAGGCGGGCCTGGTCTACAGAGTAAGTTCCAGGACAGCCAGGGCTATACAGAGAAACCCTGTCTCAAAAAACAAAAACGAAAACAAAACAAAACAAAAAACAATAAGCACATGATATGATTATTGGTCTATTATGTGTACTAGACATGGATTTTCCTAATTAGGGATCTGTTTTAAAGAAAAATCTATTATCTTTCTTAAATAAATAACACATTTCAACTGGTACTTGGGGTGTCCCATAAAGGACAGAGCTTGTCTGTCCTGTATCAAGCCCTGGGTTCAAAATGAGCACCATAGAAAGCAATAGGCAAACTTACTTAGTTATTTGCTTATTTCAACAAATTGTGATCCTTTAAAATATTTGTGCAATTACTTAGAGTTTAAGATATACAAAACTGTACACACACACACAAAAAAAAACAAAAACAAACAAACAAAAAACAAACCTCACCATGACTATGGTCACTTGCTTAAGAATTACTAGGATATTTGTAGCTGGGCATACATTAATTTCAGCATTTAGAAGACTGATGCAGAAAGATCGAGAGTTTGAGGCCAGCGTGAGTTATCTAACAAGACCCTTCCTCCAGAGACTCCAACATGTTTATTGTTATTATTTTAATTGCAAAATAATCCATTTGAAGTACTCCTTGGGATATGGTGTCTAACAAAATGATCCTTTAATCTTGAAGCAAGTTTCTTTATAGAAGAAAAAAAGGGCCTTAAGACAAGGTTTCTCAGAATTTTCCAGTTAACTTTGTGATTGTCACAAAATAATGATGTATGTAATAAAAAGATGAACATTTCAGAATATACTAAAGCATCTTATTTAATTTTATCAGTCAAATATTTTTCTATTTCTAAAACAATCTTTACAGATCCCTAGATTTAAATTTACAAATGCCTGGAACTAAAAACAAACAAACAAACAAACAAAGTGTAAACTTTTCATGGGTCCTAGAAGAAACTTCAGGCATATGTGTAGCCTCTGGAAAAAAATGAAAAGTTGCCAAGTTCACTGACAGCATAACCACGACACATGAGCAGCTCTGTCAACCCAAATGAGTAGGGCTAAAAGCAAATTACAAAATACACACTTGAGTTGATACTATGGTAAATAGTATCCATAAAATATGGTAAATCTTTTGAGCAAGAAATTACAGATGCTAGTGACTAAATTTTGTCTGTTCTGTATTTTGGAACTGATGATTGCCTGAGGAATGTGAGTCCCTTTTCACAGTCCAGGCTTTGTAAAAGGTTCTGCATGACTAATGTAAGCTTGAGGTATTATTCTGGTGCAAGTCAGTATTCATCGTACTTTAGACTGGAGTGTTTCCTCTATGTTGTCTGCCAGAAAATAATCATTTTTTTTTCAAATTGCTTCCCTGTCTTCTTAAAGTAAGTCCCAGACTGATAGTCTCTGGGTCCTTTTTCTCTAAGAGTCTGTTCTTTCTCTTTTCTCTTCTCTTCCCCTCTCCTCCCTCTCCCTCTC